AAAAAAAAAAAAAAGGTAAAATTATAGCTATAAACCCTGAGATCTTGGGCAGCACCTATTGCTAAAAGTAGGGCACCAGCCCCATATACTGAAGGTGGTGGGTTCAAACCCGGCCCCAGCCAAAAAAAAGAAAAAACCCTGAGATCTTTAGATTGGGAGGAACAACCACAAATAAGAATTTTTTATCAGGAGTGACTCAAATCAACACCTGCTATGGATTTGGACAGATCAAAACTGATTGACTGAAGGAATGTACTTTTTTTTGTTTTTTGAGACAGAGCCTAAAGCTATCCCCCTGGGTAGAGTCGGGGGGACAACCTCTAATTCCTGGGCTCAAGCGAGTCTCCTGCCTCCGCCTCCCAAGTAGCTGGGACCACAGGTGCCTGCCACAACGCCTGGCTATTTTTTGGTTGTAGCCATCATTGTTGTTTGGCGGGCCTGGGCTGGATTTGAACCCACCACCTTAGGTGTATGTGGCTGGTGCCTTAGCGACTTGAGCCACAGGCACTGAGCCAGGAATGTATTTTGGGGATCACACCAACTACCCCATCTCTGAATCCTCAAAAAGACTTCTGACCTTTAGGCATCCTGTTTTCCTTCCTCTTATCTAGTTCATACAGTTGTTGTGGAGGTAGAACAAAGGGATGACTACAGAATCACCTTTAAAAGTTTTTTTTTTTAAAGCCAAGCTTATAGCCAGGCATTGTGGTGGATGCCTGTAGTCCCAGCAACTCAGGGAGGCTGAGGCAAGAGAATCACCTTAGCCCAAGAGCCAGAGGTTGCTGTGAACTGTTACACCATGGCACTCTACAGAGGGTGACAAAATGTGACTCTGTCTCCAAAACAGGGCGGTGCCTGTGGCTCAACAACAACTACAAAAAAATAGCAGGGTGTTGTGGCGGGTACCTATCGTCCCAGCTATTCAGGAGGCTGAGGCAAGAGAATTGCCTAAACCCAAGAGCTGGAGGTTGCTGTGAGATGTGATGTCAGAGCACTCTACCAAGGGCAGTAAAAGGGCAATAAAGTGAGACTCTGTCTCTAAAAAAAAAAAAAAAGCCAAGCTTAAGGAATCTCTAGGAACCAAAAGTGCATGCTTCCTTAAAAATACATTTATATTTTGGCTGATATAACTTGCTTGTTTTAAATTTCTGTTCTGCCATTCATTCTTACAGCTTTACCACATTTTTATGGTTTTTTGTTTGTCATCTGTAGCTGCCTTTTTTTTTTTTTTTTTTT